GGCGTTTCCCTCCTTGACCCCCGCCCAGGGCTCTGCCCCTGAACCCCGATGGTGGCCTAGGCGCCCCCCCCCCCCTTATACCCGACCTATTTTTATTTACTCTCCTGTTACTTTCAAATTTCTCCTGCTACTCAAATTCATAAATAAACCCCTGCCTTATATTCATATTATTCTCTCATAACGATATTTTTAAAATGTTCAACTTTTAATAATTAAGTACTTCAATGCTATAGGTAGGGTAGGCTAGCCTAGGCCCTAGGTTTTGTCTAGGCCCTGGGTAGCCTAGCCTAGCCTAAGCAAGATTTATTGCCACTGGGGTGAGTGACATGAGACCTAAATATTTAACAGATGCATTGGTTTGATTGATTTCTGGGCCCTTTGTTAAATATTAGAAAGCCAAATTTATAACCAGGGAGATGTAATACATGCTCATCTGTCCCTGTTATAACCAGAGTCGATTTTGCAACATGGGTGATTTTTTTATTCATTTATTCAACAATATTTTGAGAGGGTAGCTCAAATAGCAATGCTACAGAAATTCAGAAATTGCAAATCAACCTTCAAATTTAATTGTCGCTAATAAATATTTTGAAACAACATTTTTTCTTGTCTGTACTTACTGGGCTAGGCTAGTTAAATATTCTGTGGTGGGATAGTAAAATCTCTAGTAAACTAGCCCAGTGGGCTAGTTACCAAAAAAAGCCCTGATCTATACCTACATTTTAACCAGGTTTAATATAGGCTTACAGCTCAATGGGCAATCTTTAGCCCAGAATAGCTAGCCTAGCCTACCTTCACCTTAGGCTTAGCCCTTAGTTAGTAGTTAGTAAGAGGAGTGCAGACAGTAGTAGGCCAGGGGCTTGTGGTCTACACTGTACAGTCGGTAGTGTAAAGGCCTAGCCTAGGTTAGGCCTAATTACAAACCACGAGGGTTGATTTTTCAGTTGGTTTTGTACAGATGGATAAAAGAAATAAAAATATAATATAAGAAATGTTTACTCACGAATATATATTTTATTATTTATTAACGTATTAGCCGACTGTTTATCATTATGTGAAAATGGATGCGATCACGATGATCGACCGTCGGTGGCAGCAAATATTTACTTGATGTATCTTCTCCCCGACTTTTAGGCCACTCATAATGTATGTTGCATGTTTCTCGTCAACACTTTTTAGAAATACAATGAGGTGCAGAAATGTTTTATTTTTTTATTATATTTATTACAATAAAAATAGTTGTTTTTATCTTGATTATATGTTGGTATTTATAGAGCAAAATGAACGATATCTCACAACAAAATTCATATTCCGTATGAAATTAAATGTGATTACAAACAGGCCTAAAAGATATCATTACCATGCCTGTACATCAGTTCTTATTATAGTTGTGTTTTTAATGTCTTATTTTAATGTGTTAATTATTTTATATAGACATTATTGTTGTTAATTGTTTTATGTTCATTTTATGCGGGGAAATTGTTTGTCTAAGGGGCCTCAATGGAAATAAGTTTTTTTTAATACTTTCTTGTGTTACCATTGTTCATAATCATTTACTTGTTGGTTTTTGTTTGTATTAAGAAATTTGTGATTTTAATTCTTGAATAAAATGAAATGAAATGAAAAATTTGAAAAATAATTGCAATTATATGTTTTCCTAATGATTTCTGTTCTATTTATAAGTCGATCTATTGTTTGCAATAATAATAACGATATTAAACTGTTACCGTAGCTACTAGAATGTTCACGAAGAAGGCTCGACGCCCGACCACGCCAATTGTGTTCTTGCTGGGGACATGCTCTCCACGCCCGGGACAATGGACTGCCCGTCTCCCTAAAAAGGCTATATGAAAAATGAAACAAAGTGTTTAAATATAGGCCTTTATTATATAAAAATATATAAATATCAATTAAATATATATAATATTTATATAGGCCTATTTATATATTTTAATATAATAAAATTCTTTTTTCACTTGCTTTATTAGTCAATTTTGCCTAATCCGTTTAACGATATGTTAATATGCTGAAATACAATTGATTTTTAAAATTTCAATTGATTTTTTTTTCATTTCATATATTTTGTCTCAATTGAACACACAAAACAGTTTCAAACTCAGGAAGACAGGATAACCAAAAGTATACTAAAATACTGTCAAATGGCTTTCCAAACACGAACGAATGAGAGCAGTTAATGAGATTAATCAAGAAAAGTTTTCAGTTGGTATTTTTATTGGATTTCGAGAAGCATTCGATACTCTTGATCACAAAATTTTATGACCTGGGTCATTATGGTAATTAGATGTAAAGCTATGACCTGAGTCATTATGGTAATTAGATGTAAAGCTATGACCTGAGTCATTATGGTAATTAGATGTAAAGCTATGACCTGGGTCATTATGGTAATTAGATGTAAAGCTATAATTTGGATTTCTAATTACAGTAGGCTTACCTTATGATTAGAACGCAACTTGCCTCATTAAATCATTGTGTAGCTGATGAGTTATCTATTATTTGTGGAGTAAACGGTACCCCAATGCTCAGTGATTGAACCCACATTATTTTAAATTTATATAAAAATGATCTGCTAAATTCTTACAACTTTTTCGATTTTCGTTTATTTTCCGATGTCCCAAATTTATTTCACAGCTTCCCAAATATGTAGTTGAATTTGACTTGCTGATCAGTTTGCATTGTTATAATTGGTGTAAAGTAAATAAATTGATAATCAATATTGACAAAACAAATTATGTCATCAATCAAGTTATAAACAAATCACAACAATTGGATCTTTATTTATTGATAACTTGACAACTTCATGAGCATTCCTATATTGATTTCGTTGGTATTATTATTATTATTATTATTATTATTATTATTATTATTATTATTATTATTATTATTATTATTATTATTATTATTATTATTATTATTACTGTATTATTATTTTCATTATTATCATCATATTTTTTTATTTTTTTTTTTGATATCTTGGTAAATTAGGCCTGATGTTACCATCAATGAGAGGTGGCCACTAGAAAGCATTCAAAATATTAATGAAAAAATCATGAAAAAAATCTGGAATTATGTTTAGATTAAGACATTTTGTTCCTATGAAAACATTAATTATGCTTTATAATTCT